GTTTTATCGATATTTTCCTTATTCTTTGGGACTAAATAAAGTTCGGTAGCGACTCTGTTGTATCTTTGAGTGTGCGATTCACGCATGTATAATCCTGCTAACTTCAGCGTTATCGGGAACAACTTACATTTGATGGCGCCTCGGACGCTGCGATAGTCGAGCAGGGCATGGATGTTCTCGATGTGCTCGTCAGGATTGGTTGTGTCGTTATATGTGCCAAGGTGTGGAGGTTTCTCTAACCCCCTGGGTAGTCGAGGCTCTTTGTTATCACTATAACTGCTCGATCGCGAACGTGAGCGAGTGTCTCTAGTAGGGAAATGACTGCAATCCCGACGGGGAGAAGGAGTTCACAACCGAACCTTAGGTCTGGGTGGGGGTGAACGTCGACCTTCGGCCCACAAGTTTCTTCTTGTTCTCTTGGCCCCTAGGAGTGTTGGCTCTAAGGAGGAGTGTGGTCGCGTTTCCTGACTGGCAGGGGGTTCTAGCTCTGCTAGGATCTGGCGATTTCTCCTGCGTTGAGGAGAAAGGCTTCGAGGCCTCTGGTGTTCGCGCCTTGGTTGAGGAGATCTTGGACGAAGGACTTCTTCCAATTCTCCAATTCTTGCGTTCTGCTGGAGGATCAGAAGGTTCGTCTTGTTGAGGGCTTCGACCATAGCTGCCATGACCAGGTCGGCGTTGGGCGGAACTAGGACATGCTGATGGTCCGCTGAGTGCTGGATCTCGATGTTGTTGTCGCGATCTGGGGAAGGAGATCTGGTGACTCCGTCCCTATGCTGAGGAATATTGTCTCCAAGAAAGAGGTTCACCCCGTCATTGTCTATCTTGCTGACGGGGGGAATGAAGGAGTTGCAAGCATTATGGACGTTATCACGGCTGTCCATGATCAGAATCTTAAAAAGCTGCTTTGATCTTTGGTTTACGGGGAAAGAAAGACGGGGAAAACAGAAGTTTCCACAAACGGCGCCACTGATCTTGACGGTTGATCAGAACCTGAAGTAGGCCAGAGACTTTGTCTACGATGCTAAAATCAAGGAGTAATAGGGTGTACCTGCAAGGCACTCCGATTCTAAAGTAAGAATCAGAAAATGAGAAGGCAAATACAAAGTAAGTGTTTCTTAGGGTCTGTTTGGTTCAAATGAGGGGGAGGGGAGGGGAGGGATTTTAATGAAGGGGAGGGGAGGGGAGGGGAGGTGAAGGAATTTTTTAATCAAATATGTGTTTGGTTCAAAAGAGAGGAGGGGAGGGGAGGGGAGGGATTTTAATTACAAATGTGTTTGGTTCAGAAGGGGAGGGGAGGGGTTTTATTAATAATTTACATTTTTATCCTTATGATCTTATATAAGTCATATGATATTAAAATGTGAAAAATTCGTGCGTATTTTTGTTGGTAATAAAATTTCTAATATTGAGTGATTAAAAAAATATTTATTTGTCACATAAAGTTTAAAAATTGAGTACAATCGATTCAACTTATAACTTTCCAACATAAATTAAACTATATGCCAATAACATCGTTTAAATTGTGATGAATTATATAACAAAACAAATATATAAAATAACTTATTACTAAATATTAATGGTTCAAAATATTTAATAAAATGAATAAACAAAAATAAATAAAATGATATGGTTTACAATTTGATATAAAAGAAAATATGATAGAGTACATAACAAAATTAAAAGAAAAAAATGAATATAACGAAACATAATTTTTTTTATAAAAAAAAGATAATGATTATGATTTATATTAATTATAAAAATTATAAAATAATTTGAAGGTGGAGAACAATTATAATAAGTTGATGAAAACAATCGAGAAAAAACAGTAACACAAAAGATAACAAATAGTTTTGAAATAATAAAATTAAACTGAGGATATTTTAGTAAATATAATAATTTTTAAATATCAAAAATCATATTCCCTCCCCTCCCCTCCGAATCCCCCCAATTCGGAGGGAACCAAAAAGTGTGTTTTGGAGGGATTTTGCTCCCCTCCCCTCCCCTCCCCTCCCCTCCTAAAATTTGAACCAAACATATTTAATTAAAATTTTCCCCTCCCCTCCCCTCCCCTCCCCTCCATCTACCCCGAACCAAACACACCCTTAGGGTGATTATTGGATTGAATATTGAATACCTGACCCTCTTAAAGGAGAGGATTTTTACAATGCCCCCAAATGCTTGGCCATTGATCCTTATTTTCGGGGCGAAATATTCTCTCCCTAAGAATAGGTAACTGCCAGAAACTAGCCGTTGAGACGGGAAGACATGCTCGGAACTAGCCGTTGCTTCGAGCAGGGGCGTGTTTCTGGGCAAGGGCGTCGTGGTCGTTCCTGGATGAAAAAACCGTGTGTGACAGACAGAGATGTACGAAAGGCAGTTGATCTTGGGGGTCAGTTGGCCAAATCTCCTCAGTTGAGTGGCAGAAGAGAAAATGCTTCCCTTTACCCTCAACTAGCAAGACTTACATATGTTTTCACATAAGAAAAATGCTATTCTTACACTCTTTCCTACACCCTACACTCAATTTACTGTTCACAAATACGTGAACAAATTTTTCAGAACATGGTTAATAGTATGTATTTTATTGGTTAATGAAGTAGTGAAAGTGATTAATAAATTATAGATAAAATAATTGGCTAATGGTGTAGATTTTTGTGATTAATGCAACTATGAAGTTGGTTAATGCACAATCTTATATTTGTGTTATAAAATAAAATTTAAAAATAAATATTTAAAAAATATATATTATTTTAATAAAAAATACTGTTCACCGTATTATAATGTGAACAGTGTATCCGATATAGAATGTGGGTGTAGGATGTGGTGTAAACATAAAACCTGTTTCACATATTCAACCTTACCCTTCCCATAGAGTTTCATTCCTATTATTAAAAAGTTCTTTTTCTTTTTGGAATAAAAAACAAAAAACTCATTTCATCCCTTCGAAAGATAAAAACCTTTCCCTCACCAAATCCTCCACTTAACTAAAATTAACGTAACAATCAATCAATAAATGATTTAGGTAGACCATCCTACCCACTTCCCCCAAACATTTCCACTCAAACACAACCGCTAATCCGAATTCCCAAAAGGGCAAAATCGTAAATCAACAGAAAACTCACCCCCAATAACGATTACCCACGTCGCCCCCAATCAGTAAACAACGTTCGTTGGCAAAACAAAGAGAAAGAAACTTTTTCAAACGGAGAGAAGAGAGAGAGAAAGAGAAACAGAACACTGACAACACTAATTTCAATTTTCTTTCTCTCTCCTCTTCTCCTTCTCCGGTTTCGCTTTCTCTCTCCTCATCGATCCCAAATCTATCAAGGTTAGGGTTCCGTTTCCTCGTCTTATTCCTTTTTGAATCTTCATCAGCTTGATTATTGTTGTTTTAATTGTTGATTTTCCTTTGTTGTTTGATTATTTAATTTAATCATTCATTTTTGTTTTTTTTCTTCTCTTTTCCTTTTTTTTTTCAACTTGGTGAATACATGATTGTTATCTGAGATATACGATTCTGATCCTGTAGATCGGCATGAAGCTTTCGTTTTCAAATATTTTCGTTTTTTTTTTTCAAAAAAATTTGAAAGTTTTATTTTTTGAATAAATATTTTGAGGATTTTGAGTTTTGTGGTTGATGTGAAAATTGGGGATTCTCGGTTATACATGCAGATTTACGTAGGGGTTACCTTATTGATTTTGTAATAATTTTTATTTTTGAATTTTCGGTGCTGGGACTCAATAACATGTTTGGAGCATATTGATTTTATTATTGTTTTTCTGTGTTTATGTTTCGATGTTTTGATCGAACTTTTTTTTTTTTCCATATTGTTCGACATGTAAATGGCATGTTTTTTTTTTCAAATGTTTTCTTCTTTTGTTGAATTTTTTTTTTCAAATGATCTTGATTTTAGTGTTTGGTGTAATAAGGTTCTGATGGTTCTAAGAATAATATTTTATTTTATATGATCTGATAAGGGTTGTGATTTAAATGATGAAACAAAAGTACGAGGATGCTTCACTGTTTTCCGTTGTCAATAACATATTGGGCTGGTTTTCTAGTGTTTGTTGATATCTTTTATGGTGTGTGTAGCGAGTGTCGGGATTTCTGTGTATTGCGTCTCTGTGCTTCCTAATGCGTTGTTTATTGAGTTTGATTCAGTTAGCCAAAGCTCACTTATTGTATAAGGTTGATATATTTTTGCTGAAGGAAGTAGTTCTGTATTAGTTTATAAAAAGTTTACTGGATCTTATTCTCCTGACTAATTTTGCCGCCTTGTTTATTTGAGATATTGTAGTTGATTAATCACACATGTTCTTTTTTACGTGTTCTTTTATGAATTCAACATGAAAGAGTTTCATTTGTCTATTGTTTTGTGTGTGTGCGCTTTCTCTAGAATCAAGTTTTGACTCCAGAAACTGGGAGTTATCCGTGTATGTACTATGTGCGCTGTCTCTAGAATCAAGTTTTGGCTACAGAAACAGGGAGTTATCTGTGTGTGTACTATGTGCGCTGTCTCTAGAATCAAGTTTTGACTCTAGAAACTGGGAGTTATCTGTGTATGTGCGCTTTCTCTAGAATCAAGTTTTGACTCTAGAAACTGGGAGTTATCTGTGTATGTGCACTTTCTCTATAATCTAGTTTTGACTCTAGAAACTGGGAGTTATCTGTGTGTGTGGGCTTTCTCTATAATCTAGTTTTGACTCCAGAAACTGGGAGTTATCTGTGTATGTGAGCTTTTGCATAGGCATGCTGAATCAAAACACAATTTATCTGTTCTTTCCCTGTTCAGGAGCTCATGTTTTGACCCAAGTTTCATTTGGCCCATTCATAGATACTTATTTGGAAATGGTGCTGATTATGCTATATTATTTAAGGGGCTAACATGTGTAATTGGATGTTTATATGCTCAAAAAGACATCTGTTAATAATTGCTTGACCTATTTATGTTTAGATGGTTTTGTACTTAAATTTCTTTGGTGCAGAAAAGTTGGAAAAGATGGACCATGACCAGACTGGATGCGAAGCAGCCCCTGAAGGTCCTATGCTCTGCGTCAACAACTGTGGATTTTTTGGAAGTGCAGCTACCATGAACATGTGTTCTAAGTGCCACAAAGACATGATGCTGAAACAGGAGCAGGCCACGCTTGCAGCATCTTCCATTGGGAACATTATGAATGGTTCATCAAGCAGCAGTGGAATTGAACCTGCTATTGCTGCCAATGTGGAAATCTCAGTTGATTCAGTGGAGCCCAAAACCATCTCTGCACAACCGTTAGTTGCTTCCGGCTCAGAGGAGAGTCTGGAGAAGAAACCCAAGGATGGTCCTAAACGGTGCACCAACTGCAATAAGCGGGTTGGTTTGACAGGATTTAATTGTCGATGTGGTAACCTTTTCTGTGCTGTACATCGCTACTCAGACAAGCATGACTGTCCATTTGACTACCGCACTGCCGGACGGGATGCGATAGCCAAAGCAAACCCGGTTGTCAAAGCTGAGAAGCTTGACAAGATATAGATTTGGTGTCTTAAAAGTTTCATGTCTCGAGCTGCTGTTATGCTCTTTGTCATCATGGGGTGATCCGAGTTTCCTGCATATTTTATTGATGTTGTTATTATATTTTTATATGTGATGGGGGACTTGGAGTATTATCTCTGCAGTTTGAGAGACTGCATATTTCATGTGATTGGCGAAAATATATGCCCCAGTGTTTTTTAAGTCTTTAAATCTCTGCTAGTTTGGTGGAAGTTGGTGGTGTAAGCATTATAAGGCTTTTATTTTGTTCCCTATCTATATCTCTGTAATAGTACATGTCAAAATGGTATGTGCAATTGACAGTTGATTTATGAAGGATCCATAGACATGAGTAGATTGTATATTACTATGGTTTTTATGGCTATCATTGAATTTCTCTTGTTAACAATGTTTTGGAATTGCTCGGCCTCTTACTATTGAGTAAAGAAGTTATTGTTGCTGATTTCAAAAGCAAAATTGAGGATGTGAGACGCAGGGGAAAGAAAAATGGGGCCGATAAATAGCTGCATCCTCCCTTAAGACTGACTGGGCAAACAGAGCTTTTCAATAGTATAGTATTCAGTTTTCTCAATTTATATAAGATATTTTGGAAAAAAAAGAGCATTAACTTATATTACTTCAATTATGTATTTTAAAATATTATTTAAATTTTTTTAACTCTTCAAGATATCTCTTATAAATAGTTTGAAGTATGAATTTCAGGTTTATTCCCTCTTTAGTTGTAGAGAAATTTTTTTATTAAATGGAGTCAGATATTTTAATAACAGTCAAGTGGAGTTAAGGGTTACATGGAGTTGAAGGTTGAGAGTTCAAGTTATGGTAAACGTGCAAATATACTAACAAATGTGCTTTTGGATCAATTTTATAGTGCAGTAAACAACTAATAATCAAAATCAATTTTCACCACCATAATCAAACACACTCAGTAATCTAACTATAACTTCATTTCCCATAGGAACATTCAGAAAAAGATAAACACAACTTTATCACATAAGAACATAATAAGTTTTATATCAAACTTCACTTATTCTTACACTTTTAAAATGAAAAACATCGATCTCTATAAATTCAAATCAGCTCTTTATCTTTAATCTATATTGAACTTGTTTTATTTTTTTTCCCAAAAGAACACAAAATAAGCTATTACCAATAATCACTTCTACTTCCAGCTTAGTATATATTAAAACAGATATTGAAACTACAATCAATGCTTTAGAATCACACAGAAAAAGAACTAGATTCAGCCTCAAGATATTTGCAAATCCTCTCCATAACATCCCTACTCTTAGCACTATTCTGAAGAAACCTATCAGCACAACGCTGCTCAACTTTCTCCGCCATAGACGCCAAAGCCGACAATGGCTTAATCCGAATCCGAGTTTCCTGCTTACAAACCGTCCATCCATTCGGATTATCCGGATGCGGATCATATCGAGTATTCTCTTCCACTTCAATAAACTTCTCCATACTAATATTCCTATAACTAAGCATCATCGAACGCGATTTCGCATCGACGACTGTTGATTCAACACAGTGACAAATATCTTCACCGATAATTCTCCGCACTAGCCACGGACAGCGAACGGTTATAGCGCGCGTCGCGTAAAGCTTCCCGGAGGATGAATCGAGGCTTGTGCTCAATGTGTTGACATCAAGAATATGCGATAAAACGCGTTTGTTTTCTGGATCGGTGAATTTTCGCCATGATGCTGATGTTACTCGTTCCCATGGATGTTTATAAACGTGTTCTTGTTTGTACGCTTTCACCATTGTTATGCTGATAGATTGATTAACCTATTGACTCAGATATAGAATTAACGGTTGAAATGAAGGATTTGTGAGAGATTAAAGAGATGATTCGATTGGATCGAGCATAATCAGATGGAATGAAAGCGTACCAGATATGAAATTAAGAACGTGCTGAGTATTGAGCTGGTGGTGGCCGGCTGGCCGTAAGAGGAGGTCGGTTGTTTTGTGATACCGCTTTCTACTCTCGCCGCCGCAGAATTTCTAGTAGTTTGTCTGGTTAAGACAAGTAGCAAGAGGAAATCAATGTAAGGAAAAGAAAACTTTTCTTTTGCAAGAAAAGATTTAACTATATATATATATATATATATATATATATAATTGTAAAAATATTTATGTCCATGTGATGATTACAAGCACTATACTATAGTATAGAGGCGCAATTGTCATCTATTGTATCTATTGTATTTAAATGTGAGGTGAAAAAAATTTATGATTGTATTTATAATTTATTTTATCTCTTTATTCATAGCGTGACTCAAGCGTTGGTGTGTTAACTTTTCAAGTCCATCTAGTGTAACTATACTTGAGTAGTTTATATCATTGCATAAAAAACATGCATCAACAATTCTGATTCCATCACTGAACAATGGTGCTCTTTGTGGAATCGATTTCTAATTCATGCGAATTTTCACAATTAGATCCCTGCTGATTCGATCAGATCTCCAATTTAATTTACAAGTGTTTTGTTAGAAATGATAAGATGGAAGTTGCGAAGCTATTTGCTTGCAATTGTAGTCATCTGTATGATCTTAGTAGCAAATGATCTTTGGTGGTTTTAGTATTGACAATACCTGATGTCAAATGGCGTTTGATGAAGTCCTTGAGGATCTCTGATCAAGCAACCTATGATGATGATATATATCAAAGAAATTATATCAAGACTCTCTAAATAGAAGAAGTCAAGTATCAAATGAAGTACTGAATCAATAGTAAATCTAGCAAGGCATCTTAAAGCTTCAATGGTGAATCTAACAAGACATCTTGAAGCTTCAAGGGTGTGAAAGAGAGAAAGTGTAAAAGTTCACTTGGTTCTGTATCTAAGTGATAAATGTATTGTTAAAGTATAAGAGTATCTCCTAAGATACTAAAGAAACTCTCACACATAAAAATATTTTTGAAGCATTTATACAAAAAATATTTTACACAAATAACTAATCGATTACTATCTTGAATAAACCTTTGGGCGTGTTATTCACAATATGGTTAATCGATTAGTACATTAGGATTAATCAATTTTTTTTTTGTAACTTCTCCTAATCGTTTAAAAGAGTTTATAATCGATTAGTGATGACGAATTTAAAATCTTCTATATTTAACCTACATAATCAATTATATCTAGCCCATATTAGTATTTGCATCAGATGCTACTATTGCAAATAGTACCTTACCTGAACCACATTCCAAACCGAACTTTTGTGTTACTTTCTTTTTATATTTATTTGAGTTTGTTGTAAATTGGTTGTTTAAGGCTCATTTGTTCAGATTAGCAATATGAACCAAATTAGAACTATAGTTCTAAGTAGTAGTCATGATGGAAGCAATTTTGGTAAAAATCAATGAAGAGCAAGTAATAGTTTTCAAATATTAGCATTGCAACATCAATTGGAGGAAGAACCACACTATCCCAATCTATCTCATATCAGTGAAAATGAACTTCAAAAATAACAATATTTAATTGAAAAATTCTTAAAAGATGGTTTAGAAACTATTTGATGAAATATCCTAGAGAATTAAGACATTTAATGGAGGTATATGTTAGAACAAGATTTAGTTCTGTAAGATATCTCTAAATTTTTATAATAACAAAGTGATAATTGTGTGAGAATAATTTTGGTACTCTAACGTTTATTTATTTTTTGAAGAATTAACAAACAGGTTCTGACTCTGATAGAGATCATATTCAATGATTACTCTGATCTGACCAAAGTCACTTCCGCGCTATAAGAAGCAAGTTTGCTTCTGATCTACTCTACTTCAGAAAGATTCTAAGAAGGCAATATATTGTTGTTGCAATGTTCTCTTGGTTTCTGTTTCTGATCATGACTCTGATACTTTACTTCTGAAGGCTTTCAAACTTCTGAAGTTATAATCTTCAGAAGACTAAGTGATGAAGACTCTGAAGACAAGGTTCAGTTGAACGAAATTCTGAAGACTCTGAAGACTTGAGTTTTTGAAGAATAAGTGCTGAAGACTCTGAAGATAAAGTTATGTTGAACGACGTTCTGAAGACTCTGAAGACTTAAGTTACTAATGTTCAAAAGTTCTGAAGACTGAGTGCTTATAATTATGAAGACAAGGTTCTGGTGAACAAGTTCTTATCATACCCTAAATTTGTCATACATTTTGCAAGTTTCTTATGCTAAGTAATTTTAGTTGCCTGGTAACCTTTTCTTTACATGGTCATCTGACCTTTGGCCATGACATTGCAAAGTTTAAGCCACAAAAAGCCTGGTGGGTGCTTATTGTTGTTACTGGCCTTTTGCAAATCGTTTGAATTCAGGTGGACCTCTTTTTTTATGGTTGGGTAGTTTTGATGGGATCAATGGCTTAAGAAGGCATGATCATTCGTTTTCAAGTGGTTTGAATCCTATTTCAACAGGATTGTAAGCTTTGCATCAACGTGTTTTAAGCCTTACTTCAGTACCGTCTTTAAGGCTATTTGGTCGATCTAAATCTTGTTTAGATTTGTTTCAAATACGTTCAAGAAATGATTATTCAAGTTTTCATCCTTAGGTCATTTTATTTGCGAAAGTGGGAGGTAAGAGGTTCATGGCACAACCATCATATGATCAAAGTGCATCATTCAAAATTTATATCAAAGCATGATGTGAATTTTGTTGCAAGTGATGATCCAACCTGTTTGTTATCTCAAATGTCATGACTGAGGAATAAAGATGTGTCAAGCTTAAGAAATGTTTCTCTTGGATTGAGTTTCAAGCTCAGAGCTGTAACGCAAGTCATGTTTTGAAATTTAGGCAACTCATATTTTCCAAAGCAACTCAATTTGTCTCAAGATTAGTTTTCAACAAAATTAATTTGGTGTTCAATGCAATGAATTGTTTATGTTTCAATTTAATATCTTAAACCATGATTTGAGTTGTTGGTATAAGTTGTAAGATCAATGGTTCCATTCTAATCCATAGATCAATTTCCTTTCAAGAGTAAACCGAACTAGAGAAATTACTTTGCATCCAAGTCATGAAAAGTATTTAAAGTTGTAAACTACAACCAATTTTCATTACTATCAATATTGAGCAAATATCTACGGCCAGTGAACAGAAGAAGGCCGTAAGTGACCCTTACCAATTCATAACAGCAGAGAAAAAGTTATTGGTATAAGATACAAGCTTAATTCTCCATTGTTTTTATAACAAGATGCAACACATGATACAAAGGCAATGACTAATCTCATAAAAAGTGCCTTCAAAGCAACTCCTGAGTGCTTATCAATGACAACGTCTTTCTCCTCGTACAAAGTTCGCTTCCAAAACTTGCGACCCAACGTCGAAAAAGAAGAAAGAGTCATTAAAGATTGAAGTGAGTTACTGCTTTAAGAAACTCCCACAGAACGCCATTGTCATTTGGAGAGGAGGTTTGTAAGCTTTTCGCGTGACTCGCTTTGGCCGATCCATTAGATGCCGTTACCACCGTCAGAACACGAGAAATTATTCCTTTCATCTACTGCATATTCTAGCCGCCTCGAGTTGCCGAGCTTTATCAACCTGCAACCTATCCAAAATTGAGATGAGATTCCAATAAGTCACTCCATAAACTAATCTACATGACAAGGTAACTAAAGTGGTGATCAAGAAAGTTCCTGCAACAAAGAGTCCTACACAATTCATCCTGCTACAGCTGAAAATTACGCAAACACGACTCCGTACACAACCACACAGCCGTCCTCGGAGGCACCTCGCAACAAACCATTTCAACAAGCTGCAGAGCAAAAATCAAGACAAAAATCAAAGGCTAGCCACAAACGTCAAAGCAAACCGTTCAGTATAGCATTGTGAAAACAAAACAAATATCTCAAGTCAAACCGTTCTGCACTTGCAAAACAACCAGACGGAAAATGCGGAAAATGCGTATGCATCAGAAAAAATGAAAACGCAACAAACATTCTATTTTGGGGACACACATAAATCGTGATAAAATACAGCAGCTATCTTGTGCCAAACTTGCACCAACAACCCCTCAGCTGCACTCTAAAAACCTTCACGCAAGGCCCTACAGGTCTGCTACCGGCTGCAAATTTCATAAGCCACTACCTGCAAATAAAAAAAAACAGATTTTGGGAGCAACAAGTGTAACGCCCCGATTCTGAATTCCCATTAATTGTTGAGTCTTTTAATTTATTTAATTGATGTTTATTTTAAATTGAGAGATTATATATTGCTATGTGGTGTTTTGCTTATTTTATCTATTTTTACCGATTCGGAGAGTTTTCGGGGAATTAGAGTAAAAAGGGCATTTTAGACATTTAGCACTTTAGTGTAAGAATTGATTGATAAGTGTTGGAAAGAATTTGAGAGGAAAGAAATAGAGATAGAAATAGAATAAGAGAGGAAAAGAAAGAAGGATAATAACATAAGAAGAAAAACAAGAGAAAGAAAAGAGGAGAAGAGAAAGAGAAGAGACAGTGGAGAGGAAAACCTAGAATCATCAAGGAATCATCACCAAAGCTTGCAATCGATCGGTAAGGGTGTGAAACTCCATCATCTCTTTAATGTATATGATTGTATGTGTATGTGTGTGGATTTTGTAGAGTTCTACTCTTTTTCCACTTAGGTTAGAAGTTGGTTTTGTGAGTAGAATGAGGTTTTAATCGGTTAGAAATCGGATTAGACGATGTAGTTTAGTCGGGTGATGGTTGGGTTGTGCTACTGTGACCGGTTTGGATTTAATCGGTTGGTTGTGTGGAGTTTGGGCTTTGAGACAGCCATGGAAGTTCTGTCTTCGTA